GGTTGTAATCCAATCATCATCAGATGTATTGAAGAAAAAAAAAAGTGTGTTATAGCATTAGCAAATGTTAACTTGTTTCTTATTAATGAATGACAATAAATCATGTGAAGTTTGGTGTTGCAGAAGTGGATGCAAAGCAAGCAGAGTTGTGATCTTTTTCACGAGTGAAATTGCTCTAGTCAAAGTAGTTTGAGATGGAGTATTGGAAGGCAGTAATAATTCGGTTTGAGGTTGTCTTTGGAACCGTGTCTGTATCAGCTTTTGTTGATTTTGCTGAAACCGCATTTTTGATTGATTTCCAGATGTACAGGAAGGACCAAATTTTGCTTGATATTTGGATCATTGAATTGCAGTCCATATCATTCGACTGTTATAATCATAGGCAGATTTTCAAGGCAAGATAAGACAATAGTTTTGTTGTATATGATACAAATGGGATGTCAATTAACGTCTGCAAATAAATGAATATGCATGAAGGTAACTAACAAACCACCCAGATGACGTGACAGGAAAAGCATACCAGCAGCAACGCTCAGAAAAACATCAATACTTTACTTTCATGGAAAAAGAGAATTCGTACCATATAAACGTGTTATTGTGATAAAAGTTAACTAACCATGTGACAATTCTATTCTTGAATCACCTTGCGGGCGAAGGAACGAACCTACACACTGGAGAGTTCATTAAATGTTGAATTTACTTTCTAGACAAGTTCACTACTTAGAACCTGCTCTCAAGTAAGGCTGAAGACAAACTTTCGATGTGGGGAAAGCAATCAGTAGCTGTAACCCTGCTTAACAACAATGCCCCATTAACATTCATATACAGAAGCCCGACAAACCAAGCAGCTTATGTCTCCAGACTGATCAGTCCAGCCAAATATGTGTTAGCTCAACTAAACATATGCATTAGTTCCCTGCTTCTTTGGCAACGTCTTTGTCATCATCTTTGGCAGCGTCTAGGGCACTGTCTGTTACTAAAGCTGTCTCCTGATTCTTGGCAATTTGATCTGAACTAACATCATCGTTACCTGAGTCTGACCGCCTAGAAGAACTGGTACCAGTGCTTTCATCTTCTGCTTCATGTAAACTTTTTAGTGCGCACTTTATGTTACTAAAGCAGTCTCCTGAGTCTTGGCAATATATATATATATATATATATATACAGAAAACTATTTTACAGGATGGACTGTATGCAATCCATCCTGTAAAATTAATTAAATGTC